TAGTTGTAGTTGTAGATGTAGTTTCAGTTGTATTTGTAGATGTACATGTAGTTGTATATGTATATGTAGATGTAGTTGTAGATGTAGTTGTAGTTGTAGTTGTAGTTGTAGATGTAGTTGTATATGTAGATGTAGATGTAGTTGTAGATGTAGTTGTAGTTGTAGTTGTAGTTGTAGTTGTACATGTAGTTGTATATGTAGATGTAGTTGTATATGTAGATGTAGATGTAGTTGTAGTTGTAGTTGTAGATGTAGATGTAGTTGTAGATGTAGTTTCAGTTGTATTTGTAGATGTTCATGTAGTTGTATATGTAGATGTAGTTGTAGATGTAGATGTAGTTGTAGTTTCAGTTGTAGTTGTAGTTGTAGATGTACATGTAGTTGTATATGTAGGTGTACTTTCAGTTGTATTTGTAGATGTATATGAATGAATGATCTTGATGTTGACGTAGATATAGATGCATTTGTGGATGTAGTTGTAGTTGTAGATGTAGTTGTATATGTAGATGTAGTTGTTGATGTAGATATAGTTGTAGATGTAGTTGTAGTTGTTGATGTAGTTGTAGCTGTTGATGTAGCTGTAGTTGTAGATGTAGGTGTAGGTGTGGGTGTGGGTGTGGGTGTAGTTTTAGTTTTAGATGTAGATGTATTTGTAGATGTAGTTGTAGATGTAGTTGTAGATGTAGTTGTAGATGTACATGTAGTTGTATATGTAGGTGTACTTTCAGTTGTATTTGTAGATGTATATGAATGAATGATCTTGATGTTGACGTAGATATAGATGCATTTGTGGATGTAGTTGTAGTTGTAGATGTAGTTGTATATGTAGATGTAGTTGTTGATGTAGATATAGTTGTAGATGTAGTTGTAGTTGTTGATGTAGTTGTAGCTGTTGATGTAGCTGTAGTTGTAGATGTAGGTGTAGGTGTGGGTGTGGGTGTGGGTGTAGTTTTAGTTTTAGATGTAGATGTATTTGTAGATGTAGTTGTAGATGTAGTTGTAGATGTAGTTGTAGATGTACATGTAGTTGTATATGTAGGTGTACTTTCAGTTGTATTTGTAGATGTATATGAATGAATGATCTTGATGTTGACGTAGATATAGATGCATTTGTGGATGTAGTTGTAGTTGTAGATGTAGTTGTATATGTAGATGTAGTTGTAGATGTAGATGTAGTTGTAGTTGTTGATGTAGTTGTAGCTGTTGATGTAGCTGTAGTTGTAGATGTAGGTGTAGGTGTGGGTTCGGGTGTGGGTGTGGGTGTGGGTGTAGTTTTAGTTTTAGATGTAGATGTAGTTGTAGATGTAGTGGTATATGTGGTTGTAGTTGTAGTTGTAAATGTAGCAGTCGTTGTAGTTGTAAATGTAGCAGTAGTTGTAGTTGTAAATGCAGCAGTAGTTGTAGTTGTAAATGTAGCCGTAGTTGTAGCTATAGCTGTACTTGTAGCTGTAGCTATGGTTGTAGTTGCAGTGACAACATGCAGAAACCCTAACTCAAGGCCTGATTTTTGACAGTGGTCAGAAAGTTATATTTCAAGACCTTAGGGACCGACCACTTGGATCCTGGGGCCTGGGATTTTATCGGAAGAAAAGAAGTTGTCCCCGAAAATTCTTGAAAAAACAGTGTGCTTTAGACTGTTGTGGAAAAAAGGAACTTGTCAGACACAAAAACTACATTGTTGCAAAGACAATATTTATTCTCACAGTTGTAATTCAAAAACTATCTGGTCTTGCAGCTGAAGATGAAAAAATATCTAGCCTCCAAACAAAATTACCTTTCATAAATTCATTTACCCTGTTTGTTTTTGTTTTCCTTCCAAATACGAAAGTACTACAGACATTAATATTAATACATGATTGGGATATAGACGTTCCCAGGGTAGATTGGCAATTTGAGGCCAAATTATTGGAAGAACGATTGACCGTAACACAGCGCCTTTGTGGCTCGTGTATGTTCATGTGCGTTGTATGTGAAGAGAGCGGAGACTCCCGTATCACCCCAGCCCCGTGCAGGTGGTCGTACAAAAACACCAAGGTATGATAGGAGATTCGAACTAAGCCCTTCCATTTCGAGAGCTGTCGGCCGTAAGCCCACACTTACTGTGCAGACTATGGGAATAGGGTATATAAGCTTTACTTTCCTAATTGACTGAACTCTGGGGGCACCCTCATCCCTCTCCGACGCTGCTGAATGTACCCCCTTCCGGGCTTCGACGCCCTGAGACTGAGGTAACAGCGGGGTGCGGGATATAGCGAGGCAGTGGGGGAGATTAAGGGTGAGAACCATCCCTGTGGGTTATCATAGAGATACGAATAGCTTTCATTTAAATAAATTATTTAATATATATCTCATTGCATTCATTCATTCATTCAGGTTGTATGTAACAAGACATGTTCGGTTTTTTCTTTACTTGTAGGAAATTAATCTTTTTTGAGCGAGTTAGCAAAATCTGAGGGTGATTCTACAAGTCGACCACATTTCAATACGAGTACATGTATATAATATGCTTCTCATAAATACCAAAGTATTTACTTAAAACCTACTCAAATAGTGCATGTAACAGTCGCAATAACAACGTGTCGCTCATCTGAAGGGTGAAAGCCGTCCTTAAGATCAGCCGGATCACAGGTTCCACAACGTTTTGAGGTGTTAAGGAAAGGTAAAGGTCGCGTGATATGAAATGGCAGTCACTGTTGAATTAAGTGTTATTTCATGCAACTTCGATCGTTTTCGAATCCATTCATATTGACTAGCCGTGAGTCATCAACTAGATATTTTAATCTAGCACAAGAGATCTGATAAGCCTTGCAAGGAAATAGTTTAATCCCTTACAGTTAATCTTAAGCCTATATTACCCTTAGCTGTGAGCCGCAACACGTGCACATTGCAATAAGCACTTTAACTTCAAAACTACGATCGAAAATGAAAAAAACTGTTTTTCTAAAATGAAATGTTTTATTAAACTGCCTCAAGAGGGGTATTTCTGGATATGAGTACATGGTTTTTTTGCACTATGATTGTTGATTCAAGTAAGTATATAAGACACGCATAACACTTCTAAACGGGAATAATTTAGAAGTCTTACAATTAGAAAAAGCATGAGTCACGGTGTTTGTATGTTCGGTGATAAGGGTACACAGGTTTGTTTAAGGACATGTATTCAAATACAACCATGAAAATTAAAAACAGCTTAACCTTTCTCTACATAAAATTTATGAAGAAATATGGGTGATTTATTAATTGTGAATAAAAGATGATCAACAAAATGTCCCCTCCTGTATTGCCTGCTGATCTCCCCGCCTTGGTGTATGGGATGTTCCTAGGATGAGTGGTTCAAACTAAGTCGGTACGTCAGGCTCAAACCCTACCTTGTGAGAAGAACGTGACTGCCTGCACTCTGTATCTATAGGGGCATAGATAGCTAAATCTCAAGGTACATCAATCAATATACCCATTTTAAATAAACTTTATCCATTCTAAACCCCCCCCCCCCCCCCCCCCCCCCCCCCCTCCTCCTCTTCTAAGCTCCTGGAGATATTGGGGGCCGTTAGTGCTGCCTCCTTGTGACCAGCAGCTCTGTGGGCTAATTGATGCAGCTCTCCGTGTGTTTCAACAAGCGGGGAATCAACACCATGTCCGCTCGATCCATATTAACTGCACCCTCCGTGTGTTTTATAATGGAGAAGTGATGCGGGTTTTCTATTATTGTGGTTTTGTGAAAATTGAGCATGTCAGGTTGCTGGGCTATTTTTCTCCGTTAACGTACTTCATTAACCGCGAATGGGGTGCAAGTTTTCAAGTAATGCTTGTCCCCGGTGGCCATGTGTATAGAGGACCCGAGATCTGCACGCCGCCGTCTGATTTGTGTATCGATTCGTCTAACCAGTTTATCAGTTTGTAGACGAGTGTCAATAGGCACATGATAAACGACAGTGTTCTAAGGGACCAGTCATAAACTTGTTTAACCTATAAAACATACGTAAATATGGCTTTTGTGTAACATTCGATATATCGTCAGTGTACTTACTAAGTGATTGTGTTGCATAAATTACAATGCGCGCGCAAACTGTTGGATACACAGACAGGTTGATGACTTGATAAATGCAGGCTTTGGGACGTTCTCAATACACAGAGGAAGACAAACAACTCATAAAACAGTTCCGTCCCTCGTAAATAGATCCCCTTGTCTAAAATATGTAATGAATCTCTGCTCACAAATATCCTCGAAAATACATAGACGTGAATGATGTATATCTAGGTTGGGCAACGTTCAGTTTTCCTCGAATACCACATATTATATAGGCTGTCCACGTTTAAGCTCAGATGAAATCGAGATCTTATTAAGTGGAGCATGATCCAATAGAACTTCGTCTGAGGTTATATGTGCATATTCGATATAATTATGAATAGATTAGACAGATTGATAAGTATGTCAAATACGACCACCCGAATATGATCTTTTGACTTGGGCATCTAGACTGTATGCTCTCTTAACATTTCTGTGGACAACGCTTATTACCAATTACATGGTGTGTTGAATGTTAGCTGCGTTTTATAACCCACTTCTTAAATCTGATGACTTAACCATACTTTCCCTGGGTAGTGTGATTGTTAAAAAAATGCCTGACTATTTTGTTATCATATTAAAGATCTTCATTTGTTTGTCTTTAACTCTCTATTTATCGAGCAATTTTGCGTCGATACTCGATAGTTTTTCAAGTACAAGTTAGTCAATAAATAGTTACGTGCTGGAAAAGATACCGACTCCCCTTGGCGACTCACCACACATTCATAAACAGGCCCACGAGTTATTTTGTTGGTCCGTTTTAGCTATCACTCCGCAGCAATGTCATTCGAGCGCACAGCGGAGCATCTGTGAATCCCATTGCAGCTCGTGTTTGATAGGCTGTCAATCAAACCCAGAACGAGGCGGGCCACGGGTTTGGGCCGCGCGTGCGTCGAATGTCACGCCTCTTCAGTCGCAAATGAGGCAGACGATATTTAACTTCAATGGACATCTTTTAAGACGCGTGTAATGCCAATTTGGCGACGGGGCTAAATGAAAACTGCGAACTGATTAATATCGAGGTGAAAACCTTTGAGTGAAGGTCTCAGGTAACCAGTGCTGTTTTTGCCTGATCGTCTGCGTGTGTAGCGTCCAGGTCTGCTGCTTGTTTGTATCGTCTGCCGACCAAATGGACGGGCGAAGCCAGACGACAATTCTCACATCCTTTTCCATTGACAATATCCTTGATCGCAGGGAGAAGGAAAATGAACAAATTTCGAAAGAGTCAAATGTGACTGATATTCATGGACTCGATTTGCGAGTGGGCGCTGCGCTGTCGGGATGTGAGGGACGGCTGTCGTCGCCAGATAGGGGTAGGGAGGAGGGCGACTTCTCCGACGGCGATTCCAGTGTCCTGACTGACCCATCAAGCCCAGCAACATACTGTGACAGCAACAAGGACCTTGACTTGTCCGTGGTCAGCGACTCAGACGGCGATAACGACGACGATGACATGGCAGTCGACGGGAACGTTGACAACTCCTTAACAGGTACGTACTTATCTTTACTGATAATCTCAGCTCTGTTTGGAATTTGGATAAATATTGAGAAGATTTTTTTCTCTCTCATCTTTGTCCTTTTAATTATCTGTGTAAGTCTATCAGAATTATGTCAAAAAAACTTTTTTATTTTATCCAAACAACATAGATCATGATTGCGAGCATGACTATATGGACCCTGCATACACATGTCAATAACTACGTATCCAATGTTGTATAATTAATGTTATAGGCCTATTAGGTAGCTGATAGTTACAATATCATGTATGAATGTTTTTGTTAAAATTTGTATGACCGTTGTGACTGTCAAAACATACATACCTCTACATTGAATCTACATGAAAATACGGCATATATCAATCATTAAAAAAACGTTCTACCTCTAAGGCTAAATAGCATGTTAGCATATACACTTAACTTCGACGATGTTATGTGTGACTGTTTTCTTCAGTTTCCCACAGCAAACTTTCATTATATTGAACACGGCCGACACTTACAAGATCAGTGATGAGTTGTTATTGTAACATCGTTGGGGTATGTTGTACAAAGGTACACGCTTGAGTGACATATTGTAACTGTATAGGGCGTGTATTATTTGTTCCTGTGGAATCGGTTTGACTGTACGTTTGATATGGGTGTTCAAAGTTTAGACAGTTGCACTACACATGTTAAATACATTGAGAAAACCCACTGATGGGATTTGTAGTCAGTATGTTTAAATTATCATATGGAATGCATGGTCGAAAGAAAACCAAAAGAAATCGGTTACAGTACGTATCATTTTCTTGAGAGAATCAGACTGGAATACCATTTGCTATATTTCTTTTAGATTAAAATAAAACAGAGCAAGCACAACACAATACATGTTTTTGGACCGTTAAGTCATATGGTCGTAGGTTTGTATTATGAATAAAAAAAACCCTTTAACATGTGTTTAAGATAAAAAGCGAGTTCTTGAAAACGTTATGTCTTACATATTCAATATGGTCTTGGGTTTTGAATTTTTTACAGATTATTAAAAGTATTTCAAATATGACTCATCATCTTCATGTAATTGTTTATGCTCTGAGATATATTTTAATGAACTTGGTTGCTTTGTTGTTTAACGCCGCACTCAACAATATTCCAGCTATATGACGGCGGTCTGTAAATAATCGAGTCTGGACAAGACAATCCAGTGATTGATATCATGAGCATCGATCCAAGCAATTGGGATCGATGACATGCATCAACCAAGTCAGCGAGCCTGACCACCCGATCCCGTTAGTCGCCTTTTACGACAAGCATAGTCACCTTTTACAGCAAGCATGGGTTGCTGAAGACCTATTCTACCCCGGAATCTTCACGGGTCTATTTTAATGAACACTAACTTACAGTGATGTAAAACGTTGCATTGTTAGCCACTCAAATAATTTATGAATGTGATAAAATATTCAAAAAGGTCTTTTCAGGAAACATATTAAATCCTCGGAACCGATCTTTAAGAGCCATACGCATATCCATTGTTTGTTTTTTTAGTTTTATTAGTATAATTATCAGATAATCAGGTCTGCACGGTAGTCCTAATCGCGTCTTCGAAAGAAAACACGTGTCAATTTAAGTAAAATCCTCAGCTCATACGCTCTGGCAAAATGTAAAGATTGCATGACTATGTCAGATGAATTCTAAACCACAAATATAAGGACAAAATCTACTGAGAAACCTGTTGTTCATCATCCTTATAGTAGTAGGCAGTGATATCTATCTATCTTGGTGTGCTTTGAATAATATCTTGTATTCTCTGTCCGTTGCGTAAGGCAATGACCGATGTGGACTGACCTGCTCTAGGATACTGCAACTTGCATACCTAGTACAGAGGAATTATACATTTCAAGTTCGTTCTAAACCTACCACGGAGAGTCTCGAAGCACAAGAATGGGGTCTGTTAAATATTTCGTTGACATTTTTCGTGTAGTGGAAATGTGTATCTCCCTAAATACGTCTCATACATCCCTATTCGCCCCGGGAACTGCGTCGGAAATTATTATCCGTGCAACCTGTATATAAAACAATTGTACCAGTACGCAACCGAGTTTTATTTGGGTATCTTTATAACTGTGTCAAGTATACACTTATAGATTTAAGCTCGTTCTTGTCTTGTCGAGATATTAAAAACTAACCCAATACATATTTTTCAACTAACACAATTAAGGTTTTGCAGTACGTATTGTTATATGTGCATATTGCTCTCATGTTATGAATGTGTCAATAAATCCATGTTAGATATCACTTAATTAACAACTGTATTTTGGAACTAGCAGATTGGAATCGACAAGGAAGATTTACACGGGATTATGCTGCATTCTCCCTAATCCCCGTTTAATGGTAGATCTAACGTTTGGCTCGTCCACTGTCGATTTTAATGTCTTCCTCCCACCGCTTTATTGAATGGTGAGGGTTGATCAATACACCTCACAAACGACAGGGCGACGTAGTAAATACATGTAATCAAACTACACTTTTTAAAAGTGGATCATTTATTACAAAATAACGACCATGTAGGCAGTAATGACAACTTGGGCTTTAAAACCTTGTTACTAAACAAGTTGCTCTTGAACAGAGGACAGACGTGTGTTATACTTTTTCCCTCAACTTATTCAAGGTAGATGGTTGTAAGATGCGCGGCGGAAGTCAGTGTCCTTTTTTCTGGTGGAGGGAAAGAGAGGAAGGGTCGCATGCATTCTTTAAGATTCCAGATAACAGGCACACAGAATCATATATATGTAATGATTACGATTGGTTTTTCTTTATTCGATTTCTCATTTTGAAATAAATTGTTTATTAAACAAATAATATATAAATATTTCGACAATAATGTACATTTTAAGCGTCCTAAACCTATTGTTTCTACATCAAACAGTATTGATCGGAGGCATTTACAGATGAAAGGCAGTTATCCGAGTTAAACTCGGAATTAGATTACCAGCTGTTCGTGACATACACACAGTGAAATCAACATCACGTGTTACAAAAAATCACGGCGCTTCAAAGATGTCGCTTTAAGTGTCACTTGTGATATCGATGTTTATATCGAAATTTCACTTGCCCCGACTGATCAATACAAAACACATAACGGGTGCGAACATTGACAACAGTTCGGATGTTGTAGGGTGATGCTGTGCATCGTTGTAAACTCAGTTATGATATACATTGATAATAATAATAATATAATACATAGTGATTATCTGCTGGTATATTCTGTACAACAACTGCAATATCAACCAAGGGGGGATGCATGCCAATGGCATATCATAACAATTATGATTTTTCAATGACAATGAGAATCGTTAGAAGAATAAGAATGACAAAGCAATTACACCACACAGGTTAATGTGTCGCGAAGTTGTCCCCCTTTACTTAAATGCATTCACAAGCCAAGGTAAGGTTTAAGGATAACAAATAGACATTTTATACGGACATTGCGGCACCATGCATCCCCTTACTTCTGACATAAATATTGCCTAGAATCAAGAAATTAATTTCTAGAATACTTTCCGCATCCGACGACTATCCAAAAGAAACACAGAGAAGTATAGTATTTGATCACATGAGATTAACTTCAAAGTGCATTATGATCGTCCAGCTAGTCGCCTCACGCCCTATCACCACTTCCTGTCTCTAGCCTCCGTCTGACTGACCACATGTGATTGAGGGTCATAACTTGACCACATGGCGATGTCCACGCTGTCACAATCACACCAGTGTCCGCCGACAACGCGTCATCGTTTGACATGTCCCAGTAACGACATCAGACCCTATCAACGCAGCACGACTCCGTCATTGGGAAACAGTCAAGTAGAGTTAGACCAGGGATCGAGCGTTCTCTGTTAACAGGCATTTAAAAAATAATTGTTTTTCGAGTCTATTTTATGAGAATTTATCTTATTTATCCTAGATCAAAGACACGATTGTGCAACTGTTTTCATCTTGAATGGATAAGTTTTTGTCGTAGCTAGTCACAGTGTTTAAGAAGACTTAAAAGCTACCGTATGCTTTGCAACCAACCGAGGTGTATGTGTGTTTATCTATTAGAGAGGCCCCTGTAAATACATATAAATATTACTTTCAAAATCCAAAACGTATGAAGTAAATTATGTAAAACACTTGCAACAAAACATAAGCACTTGATCTTTTTCTATTAATACTAAATGCTGAAAATAGAGATACAGGGAGACATTTCCTCTCTGTCAAATAGACCAAAGAATGGATGTAGCTCAATTACAGACATTCAATAAATGAGTCAAATGGACCGATAAACACCTATAGACAAGATTCCTACCAATAAAACAATCATAACAATCTCTTACAATCAGAGTGGTATTCCAAGCGAGACGGCAAAATGTTCTGTGAGGCACGTTCTTCCTTTAAATTTCACACCCCGTGTAAACGATATTGTCGTTATCTGCCCAGGCCGAACGATAATCTCCACTTCTGTAGTACTGTTATACTGGGGCCATATTTCGGATGTCTAGAACATTTAGACTGAACAAATTGCAAGTCAAACGTAAAGACCGAAATGAAGTACAAGTAATCGCCTTTGATTACACTCGTGTTAACAGCTTTCGGCAGGGAGCACAATGCACGTACATGTAGTGTTTGTGCAAGACTTGGACCAGCAGGCGGAACGAGGCCTCTTTCAGTGATCTGAGGAACATTACGAATGTTTATAGATTTCCGCAAAACAATAAATACCGACTGCTTTCCCCTCGCATCTGGTTTAGTGGATGCACGTTCACTTTACACGCTCGTCATCAAGTTCTCACGGAGTTTCTTCTTCATTTTTTTACCTGGACGTTTTCAGATGTCTCAGGTTTTGGTTTCGTAAATAGCTCGCATTCCGAGAACAAAGTACAACCAAAGTAAATTGGTTTTAAGTTGACACAATATTTCCGATTTGTCTTCAAATGAGAGTTCATATCAAACGTCTTTTAACAGTTTAGCCTCGATGTTTG